GCTCCTCAGTAATCCTATGCAGGGTCACTATTAGTTGGAACCGACTCGATGGCACTTCACCACATGACAATGAATTAAGGAAGGAATGAAACATTTCTCAAAATGGTGAAGGCCACAGACAACCTAAAGGCGCCATTTGCTCCAGGCTACAAATGGCACCTCCTGGTCCAGGGCATTTGGCATGCTGCAGCCACTGGCTTCTCAGCATTTCATCCATGGGTGCAGCCTGGCACCCGTCTGTCCTGCTACAATGTCTATGCATTTCAGTTCCCCAACTAGAAAATCTGCATCCTACCAAGTAGAGCTGCATTCTGGGTGGTCTTGAGTGCTTTACACACAATGGGCATTCAATGAATACCTGCAGCTGATTTTCTCAGGCAGAGCAGCCCGTGACACCAGAGTTCAGATGTGGTTGCTGGGAAGGTTAAGCCCTGGACAGGTTGGTTCTTACCAGATGTGCAGTTGTTTTCATGAGAAATGAATTCTAGTGCCATGTTACTGCCCCTGAAAGCTATCAGCACACTTTGGGGCTGCAGGCCTGAGGGCTGCGAAGGGTACAAAGTTGGCAAAGGCCTGTCCATTTATGCTGAAAAAAGGCTTTTGTGACTCAGGTCAAATAAGCCTGGTAATGTAAGTGTGGCCTCATGCAAACCAGTGCTAATATGAAAAAGGAATTCTCCTGCTTGACGGTGTTTTAGTGAAATAGATGAATGTAGTTTTAAAGATTATAGGTGCTGAAGAACTTAAGTCCACTCTCAACACACACACATTAACCCCAAACCAATTGACCACGTCTAGTGTGGTGTTTTTAACTTCTCACTCTACCAGGTTACGGCCCTTCTTAATGTGGGACAGAAGTGAGGCTATGGTGATGTTAGTGCGTGGGCCTTCTAAAAGTCACTGCTACAGCTGTTTGCTGGCATCATGACACAGAACGAGGCTGTGCAGCGCCTGCCCTTTCCTTTCCCAGTCCAACAAGATTCAGCTCTGGTAGGTACTGAAGGGCCAACCACACCACACCAGCTGCCCACTGCCTTGATTTGGACTCACAGCCACTCTATAGGGCAGGGTTTCTAAGGCTGGTAAGTCTGTACAGAATCAGACTGCCACATCATCTTTCTCCCGCAGAACAGCTAGTGGGACTGAACTGCTGACTTTTCCCTTAGCAGCGGAATGCTTAACCAGTGCACCACCAGGGCGCCTTTTTGTACAAAGGATCCGACAATCTGTAGAGTCCATTGGGACTCACAGCAACCCTAGAGCAGAGTAGAACTGCTCCAGCCAGCAGCCCACCATGCCATCAAGACAGCACACTTGCGTGGTGGTTGATTGGGGAGGTGAAAAGAGTGGGGTGGGAGAACTCCAAGGGTCTCCTCTGCACCCAGCGTGTGTCTTGACGGATGCTCAGTAACCACCTCAGACAACAGGGCTGCTCGGTGCGGGCTCCAGCCCAACGAGATCATTTCATCCTTCTGGGCCCAAGACAGCATCACAGCAAAACGGATGCAACCAGGTGGCCCTGAGGATGGAACATCTGAAAAATGAAGTCCTTTAGATTCTTCATTTCCTAATCTGCCTCCAAGAGGCCCAAGGCAGACCAACTAGTTGGACTGGGAATGTTTATAGTAACCTTCATCTGAAACAAGTTTATTTTTGAGCCTTTTTGTGGACAAGTCAGTTAGCAAGTCCTATATGTTTGTGAAGTATATTTAAAATTCACAAACTGATATATTAATGGCCCACAAGGACAAAGTGGAATGATGCAGAATCAAGAAGCAGTTTCTGGTGACCGTCCCCACTTGGTTCTTCTCACTCCCTAACCCATCACTGCTGCCCACGTCTCTGCAGTAGCTCTAACCTGTCTCCAGAGCATCCAGTATGGTATTCCCAAGCGTTGACAGGGGCCTCCCTCCTCTATTGGCATTTTAGAGACAATGAGTCTAAAATGAACTTCTCTTCTTACCTACAGCAGTAGCTTCTAGCATTAAATTCCTCCAATACTGCTAGTGTTTACTAGTTCAGCAGCCATCTGAGTGCCTGCATTGTAGCAGATGTAAAAAGAATGTGGCACAGCCCTGTCTAGTGGGGAGAAGACAAGTGGCAAGAGTCCGTGTACCTCTAGCAAGTGCTATGGAGCCTGGGGCCAACAGTTAGGTGACTGCAAGGCAAGATTGGTGATTAGAATGCACTTGGTGGCTCTGTGGGAGAGTGAGTTGGTGACTTGCTCCTGTGGACTGCACCCCAGAAAACCCTAGGGAACAATTCTGCTCGGTCACAGGAGTCACTATGAGCTGAAGACAGCACCTATTAAGTGCTGGTCACCTAACTGGCCGCAGCCCATTCCATCTAGCAGTCAGTGGTGACAGGACAGAGGAGGCGCTGTGCAATGGAATCTTCATATTGTTCTCAAGTAATGTCTTTGGATTCTCCTTGGCTCCTCACCAAGAATCGTTTTCTTGTATGTTTGGTTAGTTCCCACAGGGGCACATAGCAACTAGCAAATACTTGATGTTTAGGGCAAGGAATCACTTACCCAAGTACCTAAATAACAAGCACCTGTGTCTCTATAGCCACAGGCTCCACCCCTTCCTATGTGGCCTTGTTCTGAAGAAGTCTGTATTTAGCGTCTTCTTATCCCCCGAAAGAAAGTCCCCATGGCAGAGATTCTATTGACAGCTTCTTAGTTTAAGCGGTCCTGCTACACCTGCCTCATCTCTGTTGCAAACACTCAGTACTGACCACTTGGTTCTGCTCTAAGAACTTTCTGTGTTCAGCCTTCACAACAACCCTATGTGGCTGCATGATTGTTATCTTTCCACTTCACACAAGTACACAAGGCTCGGCAGCTGCCCGTGGTCAAGGAGCTAGTTATGTGTCAGCCTGTGGGGTACTGAATTATCTAACGTCTCTTCAAGCCTTAGTCTGTAACTCCCACCAAACAACACTGATGCCCTGCTAGACCTGGGCAAAAGGTGCGAGAAGATACTGATAGATTTTCTTGTTAAGTGACACTGTTCTGACTCTTAGAGACCTTGTACAGGACTTCCAAGGAGTGGCTGGTGGGTCTGAACCACTGATTAACAGTGATTAATTAGTGATTAACAGTCCAGTCCTTATCCTACAGCACCACACCAGAACTGTGATAGGATGTTTGCAGAGTTAATTGTCAATTGTAAAAACTTGAAACACTAGAATGGGTTTAAAATGAGCCATCTCAGAAGCAGGAGCGGGGAATCACATTGCTATCAAAGCAGGGCCAGGAGTGGAGCACATCCTTTGGACCCTGAGATCTCTGTGCAGTGAACTTCCTTGACCCAGGGACAGAAAGCTGTCACAACAGACGAGCAGCAGAGGAGGAGCAGCAGCAGCAGAACCAAGAACCAGAGCCTGAGATAAGAGCAATGGATCACCACGGCACTAGAGCTGAGTGCCTTCAAGCTGAGGCTTGTGGTGGAGTGCTGTGTCCTGTGGGCACCTAGAAGGAGCTGACTGAGCATTTCTGACCCTGAATTGTAAGTAACCTGGTAACTTCTCTGATAACCCCATACCTGTGAATGTGCCGTCAAAGATAGCAGTGGGAGAGATGCTTGAGTGTGGTGTCAGAAAGCATGGTGTGGGAGGGGTGGGTGGGCTTTATTTTCTACATAGCCACACTCCAGAGCCTGTGCTCTTAGCCACTCTGCTCATCCTTCCAATTCCGGGTGGTGGTCACAGAACACTGGTCTCCAGCACTCCAGAACAGAATAGGTAAGTACAACATTGGGGCATTTCATCCCAAAACAAGAGGAAAGTACTCACCAAACTACCAAAAGGAGAGAGCTGCCATTTATTTGGGTTTGTGCCCTCTCATCCAAGTGCCAGCTGATCTCTAAGCAAGCATCAAACCCCAGAGCTCATTAACACCAGTGTGAGCGTCAATAAGGTGAACATTACAATGATGCACAATTACATTCTAATAATTCAATGCCTAAGAGCCCAGTAAAACAACTGCAAAGGCCCAGGATGATCACAGTATGCAAATGCACTAGGAAAATCATTACCTACTTAGGCCCCTTCATTTTGGTGAGTTTAACAGGAGAAGAATGATCCATGCTACAAGACGAGATTTCATTTTCCAGCTGTAGTAACCAGGAGCATAAAAGCTTGAATCTGTCCCAATAGCTTCTAAAAGATTTTCCCCATAGTGTCAGAGGCAAAAATAATGAAATCTTGCAAATGTACAGTTAATGGGACCCTAGTGGACACTAACTTCAAAAATGCCTGGTCTATAGGCCATTAAAGGCTTGATTCTAGTTTCTGCACTGTTCCTGTTAATAACAATGTCTAATTAAAACATCTGTAAAATACTGATAGTTTTAATTTTACATAAAATTTCCAAAACAACTGTTACACAGTATAATCAGTATCTGCAATGAATTGGTTATTAATGGAAATATTATTTTAAATGAAAATCAGGCTCTAAATTTAACTCAGTCATCTCTGGCTAATGAGGAGAAAAGAAGTCACCCGTGCTGGGAATAATGCCGAAGACAATCTCGTTTTCAACATCCGCTAAAGCAGATTCACTCAATCACTTGGGCTAAAGGACAATTTGCTTTGAGGTTTTAGCTTTCTACTCCACACAAGTGATGGATTTCACAGTTGAACTCAATATTAAAACTAGAGCTTAATGCACCTTTTGACGCATGACTTTTAGAGTTGAAAAAACCCAAAAAAACATCATTCAACTGTAGTCACCATCAGATTCTCGCCATCGCCACTTCCCAGTGACTGAGAAAGCAGAGAATACCATTCCCTGCAGCAGACATTCTCACCCAGCCCTGCCAAACAGGATGAATATTTTAAAGGAATGGCACAAAATCTCAGCTTTCCCTTTCTTTGGGTACCATCTTCTTTTACAAAATAAAACAAAAGGGATTAGCAAGACTCAGTGGCTGGCTGCAACTCAGTGCTTCCTTTCTAATGAATGCACAGTAGCCTGCAGAGCAAGAGCAGCGACAGGGAAGGGATTCATTCTGGACCAGGCCAGGCAGGGTCTCCAGCTGCTTCAGGTTCGCATCATGGTTCACAGCAGATGCTGCAGAATGTGGTCCACGGCGTGGGGAAAGCTCTCACAAGTCAGGTAAGGAGGTGGATTAATTTTTGTTTCATCTGCTGCTCGATACTTCCCTGGAATAAAAGGAAAGGCGTGAAACAAGGCTAGCTAGACTGCTAATCACACCCCCAACACACACACACATACAGAGTCCAGTCAGTAGAGGCCCACCCTAACAATCATTAGAGAACAGGGGCTCAGCATTTCCCTGAACACCTTTTACTGACGCTTCACTATACACTGAGACAATTCAAAGAGCTGTCACATACAGTGGGTCCCAGGTCCTCTGGTCTTAGACAATGAAGTCTCAGACATTGGCTAAGGTTCCCTTCAAATCACGCAGCTGATGAAATCATTTTCTTCCTCTACTAGCCCTAAAGACAAGGGTAGTGATTAAATCAATGCTCTGGCTCCAGAGGGCAGAGGTCTCGTCTGCTCCTGAAGGTGACTGAACAGCATGTGTTGCTGCCCATGGGGACCCAGTGATGGATGGCAGATGGTTCACCGACTCAGGCCATGCCTGCCAGGCCACACAGCAGGGTGCTCAATGACAGGCACACTGCCCAACTCTCCAACCTCTGAAATCAGGAGAGCCTGCTGTTCCTCTGGCCTGGCATACTTGGAGCACCCCACCCAGCTCAGGAACCAGTCCACACTGGTCAGCACGAGCTTCTGAAAATGAAAATCCGATGGTGCCTGGTTCCTACTTAAACAGCACTGTAAGATAAGCATTGGACTGCTGCTTGTTCTTTGGAAACTCCATCTAGGGTTGAGTTGGAACCTACTCAACAGCACTTAACAATAACAAAAATGGAATGGGGAGTCCAGGTGTGGTGCTGAAGGATAAGCACTGGGTTGCTAACCTTAAGGTTGGTGGTTCAAACCCACCAGCCACTCCCTGGAAACCCTATGCCAGATTTCTATTAGTCAGAACTGGCTTGATGGCCCTTAACTACAACAAATCATATGGTGAAATCCTGGTGTAGTGCTGTAAGATAAACAGTGGACTGCTAACCTCCAAAACCACTGGCAGTTCAAAGCCACTGGCCACTCCCTGGAAGCCCTATACAAGGCTGCTATGAGTTGGAACCAACTCAATGGCACTTACCAATTGAACAGCTGGTACTGGATTTGGGTTTTTGGGTGAATGGGTACCAAAAGGAGCCTGGTGGTGCTGTGTGTTAGGCACTGGGCTGCTGGCCAAAGGGCTAGTGGTTCAAAACTACTCTATGGGAGAAAGATGAGTCTGTCTTGTCAAGATTTACAGTCTGGGAAACCCTATATAAGGTCTCTGAGTCAGAGTTGACTTGATGGCAGTGGATTAGGTTTTTAGCTTTGGAATGGGTACCAAGAAACCCTGGTGGCAGAGTTGCTAACTGAAAGGCTGATGGTTTGAAGTCCAAACTTTGAACCTACCAGTCACTGCAGCTGGCAGACTGAGTAAAGATTTGCAGCCTCGGAAGAAAGGCCTGGCTGGCGATGTGCTTTTGGAAGGTCACAGTCTTGAAAGTGTATTGCCAAGTCTTTCTTCCACCGAGCTGCTGGGTGGGTCTGAACTGATGCAATGGGATAAGCATTGGACTGCAACCACCAACCTTGAGGTTCAAACCCACTAGCTGCTCCTTGAGAACCCTATACAGGGTCACTGTGAGCTGGAACTGACTTGACAACACTTACCCACCACCACCACCTGTAGGTTAGTAGCTGGGCACAACCAACCATTAACGTCTCATGGGGACCTAGGCGTGAGGACCTGTACGTGCTTTTGTTTAGTCTGAACCTGCAAGTGGATTGAATGAAAGTGTCCGGTGGACTGCCATTCCTTTAAGTCAGTGGGGATTCCTGAGCCGCCTTGTGTGGAAGAGGCTGACACACAAGATACATACCAGTTTTGACTAAGATGCCCAGCATTCCGACATTCTGAGCGCCACCAACATCATCCCTGCAATCCTAGCAAAGCAGAAAGCATGCATTTAGTCCAGTGTCTTCAGTCAGCTTATCAAAACGAATCCCTATCAACTGATGTCACTTTGTAGGCTGGGATGGTCAACTGAGATCTCATGTTTTCTAAAATAGAAAAGAGGACAGCTAAAATGTGTGAGCCCACATGGAATGCTCTGAGGATGCATACCCAGTTTGGAGAGGTAAGCCTCACAGAGGTGAAAGTATACAACTGAGTACCAGTCCTAGTAACTAATCACATGGAGTAGAGTCACAACTCGGCATGCTTTAGCACATGTGCATACAGCCACTCCTGTCTTCATAGCATGGAAATCAGCATCCTTTCCATTTGGCAGCTTTTAAGGTGAGAGTCGACTGCTGTCAGTGAATGACATTATTTCAGAAGAGAATTTTTCTGCTGCCCATGTAATCTACTGTGAAATCTACTTTCAATCCTAATCATCCCTAACAGGAGAACGTTTACTCACAGGCTGTGACTCTGATGTTCACGTCACACTCAAAAGTAATTGGCAGATCAGCTTAAAAAGGGCACCCCTTTTCCAATTCGTACTTAGAGTGGGGTAGACTGTGATGATATATGCGCATTAACCAAAAACCAAGGACTGGAAGAAAAAACAAGGAAAGCAAGCCTGCTATCATATGACTGATTTGTAAGCAGGGTTCATATAATTCTCATTCAACAACAGCCCTTGGAAATGAGTTTTAGAAGGTCAAAATCTTCATTCAAGAGATCACTAATTCGGATCTAATGTAAAACCTTTTCTGTGACATCTAAGCTTGCCCTGTTGAAGAAGTGGGAACAGGGAGAAGAAAAGAGGAAGGAGGGCAGGGTAGATGAGGACAGGCTGGTAGAAACCTGCCACTCTCTGGGATAACATGCAGCCTTCCATGCCCACCCCACCCCCACCTACCCCAATGCCAGTGTCTCCCAGGATGGAGGAAATCTCAAGTCTCCAGGTTCAGGTAACCATTTCTTCAAATAAGCATTTGCTCAGAAAAGTTAGTCTTCGAAGAGGAAAAGTTGTGGCTGAAAAGGTAGTTTCTCAAAATGCTATCCAGTTCAATGGTCACTCTCTTGGGTTTTAGGTGAATGGATACAGAAGTGGAAGACTAAGTCAGAAGGACATAAACCACTCCCCCACTTACAAGGAAGTGAGGCATCTGCTATCCCTGTTAGAGTGAGTCAGGAGCCCCGAGTTCTACCTGCAGCTGTACCACTTCTCAGCTCCGGAATTCAGGCACAGAGATGTACTTCTTTGTGCTTCAGTTTCCCTATCAGGACAATGAGGAGTTTGGATGAGCCCCTCTGGACTGTCCCTTCCAGTCTAACACACTGCCATCTGAAAACTGAACAACAATCCTTGCCACCTGTGTACCACGAGACAGTGGGCTGGCTTTCCAGGTCTGTTCTCCTGACGGCACATGTGCAAACAATGCTAACTCTGCCAAGTGTACCGGGGTAAGCTCACAACCAGAGGCAACCAGCTGGGCCTTCAATGGTTCTAGGCCCCACTCTGCCACTCAGAAGGCTGAGAAGACTGGCAGCTTTAACTACCTGTGAAGACTGGCAGCTTAAACTACCTGTGGCACAGTGACTAGGAAGTTCTTACATAAACCAAACCGTAAGAAAAAAGAAGTGGTAATAGGGGAGTTCTTAAATATAGGCTATTTTCAGCGTATTATTTTTAAAATTTAGATTTATGTAGGAGTTTTCTTCAAAAGACAAAACACGGAACTGACTTGCAGTATAAACGGTCTCCTGACAAAAGACATCACACTATGGAGAAATGTCAGAAGTCCTCACAATCTCAGCTGGTTACGAGACCAGGACTAAACCTCTTCATCTACAAGAGAACTCGTGCTTTCTGTGACTTCTCATTCCCATCTGGTGCCACTAGTAACAGAAAGTGACTTTTCTCAGAGCAGTGCTTCAGGGTGGCCCCTCCCGGGATGACTCACATCGCCTATCATGACGGCCTCCTGGGGTTCACAGCCGGTGCCCCGCAAGGCCTCCAAGAAGAACGTCTTCTCGGGTTTTCCCACCACTGTAGCTTTGGTGTCGGTGGCATACTCTAGGCCAGCCACGAATGGTCCAGGCCCCATGGCAAGGCCGTCCTTTCTCTTGTAATACCTGGCTTTGTGAATAGCTATAAGAGGCGCGCCATCCAGGAGTAACCTGAGAGACCAAGCAAAGGGAAACTGGCATAAAGCAAAGAATGTCAGATTTACAAAGTGGTTTTATTCACAGTCACAGAAACAAACAGTTTCTTATTAACTTTTAATGACTTGCTGTCTTCTAATGAATTCACAAAGAACGGCTGGGAATTACACTCGGATTCACTCAAGAAAGGTGATAGATTATTAAATTTGGATTGCTTCAACCTTTTACCTTCAGAGGTTTTACACATTTTACCTAAATCACTGGGGAAAGGAAATTAAGAGAACTGAAGCTAAATAAGACACTCAAGGGAAGCCTCTTAACTTAATGAAACGAGTTGTTCCTACCTCCCCTGACTGAAGTGGGAGGCTCTTGAGCCTTTCACAAGACTTTACAATTGCTGTTGCAGTGACGCATACATAAAGCTACTTCCTAAAACATCCAAATCTTGGTTTCTTTGACTCCAGAACTTGTTTGTTTTTAGCTTAGAAACTCAATAGAGAGTTTTACAGAGAGTTTCTGCTTGTTTTCCAACCTCCTGACTAATTTCAATATATTTTGCAAATCACGCCATCTTCCACCAAGCAGGGCTTAAGAGAGAGCGTGATGATGGCAAGCCCGCGTGACAGAGTGGAGCTGCCCCGTAGGGTTTCCTTGGCTGTCATCTTGATGGGAGCAGATCGCTGGTCTTTCTCCCGTGGTGCTAATGGGTGGGTTTGAACCACTAACTTTTCAGTTAGCAGTTTTTGGTCTCTCCGATGTTTGCACTTTCAGGGCGCCTTATTCTCATCTAGCACAACCAACCCTCTCATACCAAAAAAGCATACAGAATTTTCCCATTAGTGTGATCACCAAACTCTACATATAGCAAAAGATCCATATTAGGACTCAAGCAAACAGATCTGTGAGAGTGGTGTGGTGTGGTGTGGAAAAGGCCTCGGACCTCCTCCAACTTCCCTAGTGGGGGAGAGAGTCACCTTCAGTATCAGCCCAAGGCTGATCCCTGAGGTGGAGGTACCTCCCATGTGCCTCCACCCTCCAACCGTTTAACTAATTCTGATACCCTCCCATGGCACTCTACTTCTGTGTCTGGTTCAGGGATTCACTGCATTGGCCACACTCAAGAGTTATGGGGTGTTATGAATTGAACTGTGTCCCCTGACCTGGCCTTGGTGGGGCCATGGTTCTCAGTATGAAGTAATTATCCTCCATTTGTGATCTGGTATAATTATCCTATGTGTTATAAATCCTCACCTCTAAGACACTACTAAGGAGCTCTGGTAGCGTAGTGGTTATGAATCGGGCTGCGAACCGCAAAGTCACTAGTTCAAAACTACCAGCTGCTCTGCAGGAGAGAGATGAGGCTTTCTGCTCCCACAAAGACTTATAGCCTCGGAAACCCTGTTCAGGGTCGCTATGGGTCAGAACCGACTCAATGGCACTTAACAACAACAACAACAAGAGACTACTGGGAGTTCTGGTGTGGCGTTGTGGGCTAATGAGCCAGAATGGGAAGCCGTTTAAACTGCAAGGTCAGTGGTTCAAGCTCACCAGTCACTCCTTGGAAACCCTATGCAGGTTCGCTATGGGTCGGAACCAACTCGATGGCACTTAACAACAAGAACAAGAAACTACTGAGGCAGGATTACAGCAGTTATGTTAATGAGGTGAGAATGCAGTCTACAGGATTAAACAGTATTGTTAGTCAAGCTCTGTTGAGAAATACAGGGATTAACAAGTGAGCAGGATCAGAAGGACCTGACTACCACCAAGAAAGAACAACCAAGCAGGCAACTAAGACATTGGGGACCTAACATGGTGTGATAAAGGCACAAAGTGACTGACTTACAAGTTTTCAAGACGGAGTTTAGTTTCAGAGTGTGTGAAGGAAGGTAGAATCCCCACAAGATAGTTTTCATCTTGTCTAGACAGGTCTGGGGAAAGGGAGCTGGGGATAAGATTCTTAAGATTCAATAGTGAGTAATTGTTATCATGACTAATTGAGACTGTCACAACTGTAAAAGTAGAAGTTTTGTAACAAAAAGGCAAGGCAGGGGGGAGTAGTTAATCTTACAGTTCAGGAACAGAGGGCCCTAGGACCATCAAGGAACAAGAGCACAAGCAGAATGTGGGACCCTATCCAGAGAAGCAGAGACACTAGAGATGGAGGTCTGCAGAGATGACAAGAGAGAGAGCAGCTGAGGACTCTAGACTCATGGAAAGAGAAAGGCAGCAGGCTTGCAGAATGTGCCCTTTGACTGTTTAAATGATTATATATTTCTCAGTGTTTTGGTGTGCATGCCACCCCTCCACCCCCCAAAAAAACAAAAAAAAAAACCCAGAAGGAATAGAGGATGATGATGCAGGGAAGGGATTGTAATCATTGCAATGAAATGATGAGTGTAAAACCGATGTCCTCCCACGTAAACTATCACTCAGTTCACAATAAAAACATTTAAAAAAGAGTGAGGAACAGCCAGGAATGGAGCATATCGTTTGGACCCAGGCTCCTTGCACTGTGAGGCTCCCTAGATCCAGAGGAAGCCTGATGCCAAGACACATGGAGATTTCCAAGGAATGCTGGCCCACAGATGCTGAAGAGTCAAGGACCTTTCTCTTCAACAGTGAGAGTGTAAGTTTCTGTCTGGGTATTTCTGTTATAGGAGCGCTCCAAAAGTAAGGCATGGCATTTGTTAGGGAAGTAACAGGTTACAATTCAGGATCAGGAGTGCCTCAGGACACAGTTTTTCTATCACCACAGCTGTGCCCAGAGGCAGGCCTCTCTTCTCTGGCTGCTGGGTTCCTCAGTTCCATCTCTGTCCTGCTTGGACAAGTGTTACAAAGTTCTTTAGCCCTGCTACTAATAAATCCTCAATTTCTCAGAAAGCCTCTTGCCCCCAGCTATTTCGCTCTGTGGAACAGCACACTCACTGTAACCACCCTGTTACTTTTCAAGAAGACCACTAGCACCATTTTGTGCTGGTCTTCTGGTTCTGCTGCTACTATTTCTCGCTATCTCGGCCCATCTCTGCTGTTACAACTCTTGTCTCCTGGATATAAAAGCTTCTCAGCGCAGGGATCCTGAGTCCAAAGGACATGCTCTGCTCCCATCTCTTCTAGGTAGTAGTGAGTGAGGTCTACTCTCTTTTCTGGGATTGGCTTTCTCTTAAGCCACATGGATGGCAAAATGAACCAATCCCCTCATTAGGGCCCATGCACCTTATATGTATCACTGGCAACCTGTCTAATCCCTTTGGTGGGTCACAAACACTTGATTTGCCTAGGCTCTTCAATTATTTGATGGGGGTTACAAAAATGGCTAGGAAGGCTACATAAAAGTGACCCATTATACTGAAAACATAAATCCAAAACCACCATGAGTTTCTCAATATGTACTCCCTACCCTATGCCCCAAACCCTGCCATCTATCCCAACAGGACAGCTTTTAGTCACTCAGCACTCAGCAGAATACTATGCACATATTCTTATTTAATAGAATATGGGACACTACATGCTTCTTAAACAGCTTTTAACCAATGTAATAAATGATCTCACTAGCTTAATTTACTTTAAGTCATCTACTTAGTTAAAATATTTAGTATGTCCATCGAGGAAGAATTCATCACATCTTACCCTTCACAATTATGAGTAATTAAGCGCTCTACTATGAAGCTGCTAAATTATTCTTGTCAGTGGGTATGAAAATGCCTTCCTGTGGGAGATGCAGAATTCAGACATTCAGGATTAAATATTTTATTAAGTAAAAACCAATCTTGGACGATTACAGAGCCTTACTGTTAGTTACTACAAATTGCTCACAGTGCAGGGCAGGCCCTTCAGATTTATTCACTAATATTAATACAAATTCACTTCTTAAAGCAGATCTTGAAATCCAACTGTTAGGAAACCTGGTGCAGACACTGTTGGCCTTGATGGACCACAGCTGGTAGCAATGAAATAGTAACGGGTGATTGATCTCTCTCCTTTTGTCACCCCACCCCCAGCCCCATTTGTTTGCTAACTCTACCTCGGAACTGGAATTCTTTATGCAACAGACCTCAAAATTGCTTTCCACTTATACAGCTAAACTAAAAACTCATTTGATTTAGCTTTGTTAATATTTTATTATATATTAACTGGGGCTAAGACTGATGAGCTTGATTGATGTATGTACTTAATTCCCAGGCAGTACTTTAGTGCCTTCCCGGGAAGGGCTGCGACTGTGGGTTCCTCTCCATTTCTCTAAGTGGGAACTAGTTCTCCCCGAGGCTGGAGAAGATTCACATTTCTCAGGGAAGTGGCTGCTACGTCTGTCATTCTTTGCACAGTACAAGCTTTACTGACTCCTTGAAGAGCCAAGGCATTTTCAGGATGGACAGAAGAGTAAACATGTTCTAGGAAAAAGATTAAAAAGATCTTTTCTATTTAAATGTATCTTTTAAATATATAAAAACAGTACTAGAAATGATTTCATACTTTCTAGACAGGACAACAAATGGTTGTTTTGTAATTCAAATGAATACATGAACAGGAAATCTAAGAGTGTTCTAATCATAAGCCCACTGAAGTACAAAAAGATAGGAACAAAAGGCACAAAGAACAAACATCTCCGGCTGTTAATTTTATGTGGGCAAGTTAAAAACCTGGCCAATGGGCATGGCTATCATATAATACTCTCAGGCAGAGCAGTGAGAGACGAAATTCTAGGAGCTAACTTATACTCAGCACCACAAAACATTTTCGAAAGGGACCTTAAGGATCAACACAGTCTGTTTCACAAATGAGGCAACTGTCCAGAGATGTTGGCAGAAATCAATGGCACCACCAAGAAAAGCCAGGGCCAGCACTGGAACTCAGCATTTCTGATAATCTAGTGCTCTTTCTAGATCAACTCTTTACTATTTCACTGAAGATGGCGCAGGTAGACAGGAAGCCACACTGCCAGACACGTCCCACGTGGACAACCTCAAACCAGTGAGTCCCTCGTATGCCACTTCCCACTCGTTTCTCCTTGGGTT